TCACACATTCCTGCATCAGGTTTTGATTTATTCTCATCAGAGGTTCCTAACCAGCAATCAGCTGCACCATTTGGCAACACCTTGAAAAATGAGGGATGGGCGACATTTGACACGCCTCAGCACAATGCACCTGTGGGAAATGAGAAGTTTACACCAGCTTTTGCAGCACCTTTACCTGACCCGTTAAAACTTTTCTCTGGGATGCCACATCAGCAGTCAGATGCAGTATACAACAAAAGTCCATCAAATGTTGTTACCCACATGGATGGTGGCTGGACAGCGTTCGACATGCCAAATCACACAGCACAAATTGGCTCTGGCTCTTTAGAAAATTATAGCCATCATTCATCTCCCTTGAGTGGACTATTCTTTCCGCATCCTGACGTCCAAGGAGGATATCCATCAATGCCTGCCCCATTACATGGAGGCATCCAAAATAATGAAGCGACCCTACATGGAAGCTCCGAGGCAAGTGATTATAATTGAAGCAGAACTAAAGAAAACTGAGAGGCACCTGCGGTTGAGCTTAGACACTCTAATTACTGTAGTAGACATGATTTCTGTTTGTAAGGAATGTATGTTGAACACAACTTATGCTAGCTCTTTTTTTACCTCTGGTGCAGCCATGGAAAGCATTTGGGAGTTCCAGTGATTTATTAGCATTACCAAGGGATCAAATTAGTACTCAAGAGGTTTTAACCAGCCATCTTCCTATTACTGATCAGTATCTGGGGTTAAAAGGATCAGAGGTAACTAAACCATAACTGCTAACAGATTGATTGGTTATTGCATTTCTAATAAGTTTCTATCGTGTAGAACTTTGCTGATCATGGAATTTTAAGAACAGAAGTGGAAGTTGGCAACAAAACCATATCATCATATGTAGGTTCCTTTTTGCAACCATATCTCTTGAGGAGTCTATGATTTGTCTCTTCATCTTCTAATTTCACAATAAGCTGCTCACTTACAGGGCGGATTACATGAACTTGCAAACAACAAATCTACCAATCCATTTGATCTCCCCTATGAACCTCACATGCAAATCAACAGTACGGTAAGTTAGCTCTCCCAAGTCCCAACTTATCGTGTGTCTTATATGTAAGTCATTGCCAACGACATCTATATTGAGCCACAGGATGACAGCATGACAGGAAATGTGGTTTCATGTTTTTTATTTAAACATATGATGTATTCCATAATTCTTACTGCCGTTACAGAATGTAACAAAATTTGAAGGATTTCACTAAACCTTTTTGTGAGACATTCTTTATAGTTTATACTAAGTCACAATTAAAACACATTAAAGTTAACATATACGATTGATTGAATCCTGAGTCATATTTTCTAACACTATCAAACACACATTTAAATTAAATATTTAAGTTTTCAACTGCACCCGATGAAATTTAAGATATCTTAGATAACCGTTCTTTATTAATTTGAAACGGGAGACTAGAAACATATGCAGAATCGTCATTGAATCAAAACAATTTTCTGAAAGGTTTCAAAAAGGAAGACCAAAATAAAGAAACAAATAAATAATTAAGTCGGATGGAAATCTTAATCCAAGCAGAAGATTAATGAATTGCATTATTGTGTATTCTCCATGTTACCTGAACTTGGCTAGCGCGCCAAACTGCCAATATTCAAACAAGGTTACTCCATTTAAGTTATTATGGAACGTAAACATGATTTAAGGAGATGTTTCATGTCTATCTTACCTATTTCCTATAATCAATGCCTAAATCGGTGCTAAATTAATATTTCAGTTTACATAGCATATTGCTGTCATAAGATATGTCCTGTGTCTGAACATGTGACCTTTTCACTTTTAGCCCGATTTCTGGGACATGAGCTCCTTACAAGCTGGATTGCCAAATGGAAAGATGCCTACGCCCTTTGTTGGTGGCGATGTAAGAGCGTCTTGGTTTTCACAGAATTCAGTTGCATCTTACGTTTCAGCTTCGGGAGAAGGTAATAGTGAATTGAAGAGTAATACTTCCAACTCATTATGTTGTCAGGTCTTTTTTCAGTTTCTATGACTGCTCATACTGCAGATACCTCGGGATTCATTTCAGCACAACCTACAGGCAGCCAACCGTGAGTCCATCCTTGTAAAACTTAATTGCACAAACATATTACTCCTTATGTACACATGTGTACAGATAAAACTTAATTGTTTAGCATATAATGAATAGTACTACACATGATGGAAATAACAAATCTTACTATAGTAATGATACTAACTCATACAAATCTTACTATAGTAATGATACTAACTCATACTTTTGTTATTATAATCTTGACAAAGTTTGTTGAGTTGAGAAAATAATTTTATTAAGTGGTTTCAATATTATATATATTATTTTTTTTAATAATCCTTCTAAGCCTATTATAGTATCTGTTCATGACAATGGCAACATCCTTGATTGGGGATGAGACTTGAAGTTGTGAACTCCTCTTTGGGAGACCAGCATGGGGTACCCACAGGACAACATGACAATGCAGGGATGGGGGTATCCCCCACTCCATTCCCATCCTTGTTGTCAAGGTTTAGGTGGCTATTATGAAGGCCTCTCTTAGCAACATTGGAAGTATTTCTCTGAGAGATTGCTCTTTAATAGATTTGTTATGTGCTATTTCACTTTGTTCATTATTTTGCAGGAATGATTTGCCAACACAAGGGCCTATTGCTCCTATTGGCGGAAACCCCTTCGCATGAAGATACACACACACACACACACTTTCTGCTCATTATCATTTGCATTTTGTTTATTTATTTTTTATATATTGGTATTAATGAATTGGGTTAGGCCACTTTTTTCCCTAACTAGTATTGTATTTAAAAAGATGGGGATGATTTTGAGTTGTATTTGCTTGTGAAAACAGAATCTGCCTAGATTTTTTTAATCCCCCTATAGTCTGTTGTTAGTGTTATAGTGTTATCTCAACTTAATTCTTGTAAAAGTACGATTTGTAGTCATTGACCATTTAGAAGTTACAAGGTACAGTTTTTTAATTAATGCATACCTGGTATTTCTCACATTGCCTTTTCGTCTTTTCTTGCGATAACAATGTGTAATTGTTTAAGTTTTATGAAGAATCGGAATAACCCAATCCAATATCCATAAAATCAAATTTGATCTGGATCAAGAATTCCAAGTGGTTTGGGTTTAAATATTGTTATCTTAGGTCCAGGTTTAATTATTAATTTCTACCCAATTTGTTACATCTTCAAGGTTCAAGAGAGTAAAAACAAATTAAAGACCGACTCAAGACATTATAACTTGTGGAGGGTGAGTTTATAGATTAGCAAGATTACGTAATTACGTTAATGGTTGTTGAAATTGATGATTATTATACCAAAGATTTTTGTGATGACTTGTATTCAACATATTCAATGTTAAACAATAAACATGATGGAGAGTGGAGAAAACAAGAAAATTTTCAATTCAGGAATCTTTTGTAATGTTTTCGAAGCACAGAAAGATAACATCCTCAATGTTATATTGCAAAATTACAACTTTTTTAGAACAAAAAATACGATTTTTATGTATATTTCACATTAAATCCGTGTCTTTCGATTTATCCACTTTTAGTACTCGTACATGACTAATGTTTTTTGACTATTTGTGTCTCTTCCATCCAATTTCTAACCTCTCCAACAACTTAAGCCACCGAATATCGAAAGAAGTAAGAACGAAAAACAATAGTCATGTATTAGAAATGATCAAAATCAAAGACAAACCAATTGTAGAATTGGTGCATGTGTATGACCAAAACTGAAATTTATTCTTTTTGAAATAAAAAACTTCCAAACTTGCATAAGATCCAAAAAGTCTTAATAGGATTATATTTAAGTATACATAATACGAGTGATTTTATGGAATCACATGTGGCTCCCTTATGGAGTCACATGGGGTGGTGTGACATTATCCCTACCATTCACTTTTTTAGTGGAGGACCCCACTAAAAAAATAAATGGTAGCCTTCAAAAAAAAAAAAAAAAAAAAAATAAATGGTAGAGATAATTCCACACCACCCCATGTGACTCCATAATAGGGCTGGACTCGGGCCGGTTCGGGCCCGGTTCGGGCCTGGGCCAGGAAAGGGGAGGCCCGAGCCCGAACCGCCGGTGGCCGGTTCCGGGCCAAACCAGGCCGGGCCGGGCCGAACCGGCCCAATTAATTAATTTTTTTTTGTTCTCCTATTTAATCCCCTACCCCTCCCCCTCAACCCCAAACCATCCCAAACCACCTCAAATGGCCCAAAATACCTAATCCAACCTAAAACTTAAAAAAATTTCAAAAAAAAAAAAATTAAAATCCGGCCCGGACCGGGCCCGAACCGGCCGGGCCGGTTCACCAAAACCTGGGCCCGAGCCCGAACCGCCCAGCAGCCGGGCCGGCCCGAACCGAACCGGTGGACCCACCGGGCCCCGGGCCGGGCCGGTTCCGGCCCGGGCCGCCCGGCCCGAGTCCAGCACTACTCCATAAGAGAGTCACATATGATTCCTTAAATTTTTTGTACATAATACTTTCTCCATTTTTTAGTTGCAACATTCTCATTTCCACTTTTGTCAAAACATAAACTTGATCATTAATATATTCAATTCCCTCTTAGTAAATTTTAAAAAAATCCCGAGTTATATGAAAATTTAAAATGAGAGAAATTTAACGGCATTTTTCAAAAATTAACTTCATAATAAAAAAACACAGCCTGGTGCACAAAGACATCCCGGCAAGGCGAGATATTCAATTTATACTGCCTAGTATATTACTCTGTAATAAATAATGTAATCAAAGTAGAGATTGTGAATTGCGTAAAATTTAACATATTACAACTAAAAAGAACAATAGTACATTATTTTAATATTTAGCAACATGGGGTGTTCTTAGTAAGTTTTGTCAGAATCACTTAAGATTTGGCTTGTTTACTTCTGTTTTATTTGATCTCAAACCATCTTTCCGTTTATATGTTTTTAGTCCAGCCCTGCTGAGGAATTTAATCAATGAATAGTATCTATTAAAATGAATATATGAATGATTTGATCATTAAAATGGGACATAGTGAGTAACTAAGAGTATAATAACTTGACAAGACCATACACATCAGATGAGACTGAAAGAGGGTGAAGCAAATGCTGCATGGAAAGCTATAAAAACATGTTCAAGCATTCAGCGCATGATTCACTTATTGTTTGTTCTTCCTCCTCTTCTTATTCACCTTGATGACAGGGTTATTGCAAATCCAAGTTTCTGCCAATCCCAACACTTTTGCTGAAGAGTTGCGTACAGTGAGAAGAGAAGGCGAGCTGCGAGAAGCACAATACTGCTTGGAAGATCAAGATTTTGCACCTCTGATCAGACGGTTCAGACGTAGTGATGTTTTGCTACCTCTTGATGAAATCGATGTTCCACTTTTTGTAACCAATGAATGCAAATATTCTTTTTTTGCCTTAATTCTATTAACACACACAAGCACCTGCCCACTCAATACACACATTTATATGGACATTAAACCCGTGTTGGAAATTGCCTTACCTTTTAATTCCTGCTCATATTAAGAATGATGTAGTTTTTGTCATCGGACTATGACAAAATGGACTCAAACACTTGCTGCTCTAGTCCCTCTAGTTAGTATCATCAAGACCCATGATGACATGAACAATCTATTTTTCACCGTTAAATCCTTTGGATTTGTCTATGGACTCCATCGCATCTTCAAATGATTTCTGCATTTATTAATTAGAAAGAAAAGATATCACAAAAAAGACATGTGGGAAGAAACACACGATCAGAATTATCACAGGCGCGATCTCAAATTATCACAAATTTGAGATCATTTATTCATTTATAAGTCAAAACCCACCAAGATGGAGAACCTTTAACCTACCTATGTTCGCTTTTATTTGCTCAACTTTCCTTTTATGAAAGTTTAATTACTTGCTCTGGTTTCCATTTTATGAAACTACATCACATTAAAATAAGTATATATACTGACTTTCTCAACTTATCTTCCCGCTTTTCCTTTTTTTCACCCCTCGTACTTTTTCCACTTTTTCCTACAGTATTTATTACAACTAGCTTTACTCTTAATTTAACTGAAAAGCATACTGAAACCAATAAAAGGGATCGGGAGTAATAACTTAGAACCATTTTGTTGCACATAGTGGTGGTGGTGGTGGTGGTGGTAAAACAAAAGGTAATTGAAGTGATATATCAATAACAACATACTCCAGAGTTGTGCATCTTCCATAGTGCCTTTCCACCGCTATGGACTCCCATAGATGCACCTAACAAAAGCCTTTGCCAACAAAAATAATGCATCAATATATCTTGCTTACACATAACAAAATGACATATGCTTTAGTCATTTTCTGATTAAAATGCAATGCATATTAACCGGTCAGCATCTGACACGTGTGGATGACATCAAGAGTTCCCTAAGGGGATGCTTACATTTTTTGTATTTTATCCTATTTGGATTAAGATGTATGCTTGAATTGAGTGATATTGTATATGAGGTCGTTGATTTTGCGAGCGGAATAAACAATCTCAATTGAGTAAAACAATCAATTTAGAAAATATGTTCATAAATATATTCCATAATCATCACCGTCATTAATATATTCCATAATCAGTTTAGAAAAAATAAGTTGAATAAAAGACCTAATATAAGTCTTAACGGGAAGGATCATTATAAGACGTGAAAGACTTAAAAGTTAGTTTTTTGATAGAATGAATAATTCGTGCTCTTAATTAAGTCGCTAATTGCATTAAATTCATTAATGGCTGTAGGATCAGGTTGCTAATTTCATTAAATTCATTAAGTTGCAAGTAAACCGCCCCTAAGTGAATCTGTTCCTCTATTTTCCTCTTCTATTCGTAGAGAGTAAGTTTGGGTCATGGATTGTGGTCGGTGTAACGATAATGGATCCCAGCTCATGAGTGCTTCCAGAAGCCCGTTTGTAAGCCTGCCTTGTAGCTCCATACCTAGGATATCCCTTCATAAAGAGATCTCTCCATCCCCCTTCTCCCATTGCCCAATCTCAAGAATAGCTAGAACTCAACTAATGGCTTCCGAAGCCTTCTTCTTGTATATGTAAAAATGTAAAATGGTGAAGTGATAAATAATATGAGAAGTGGCTTAGATTTAATAAGAATGTCTAGTGGTTTTCACTTTTCCAGAATTCATCCTAAAAATCATGTGTTGTTTATTTTACTATTCTTGATTGATATTTTGATAGATCCATCAAACCTTGTTTTGAATTAACCTCCACAGTAGGGAAAAGAAGACAGAATACTAGAATAGCAATGGCCATTATCTTAGGTTTGGTTTTGTCACTAACCTATCAAGCCAGTTTCACTATAGTAATGGAACAGTAATTCTAAGGAGGAAACAAATGATCCAAACCAATTGAATGCACAAAATAACCAAAAGTAAAGACTAAACGCAGTAAGAATAAGAGAAAGCAATACCCAGCAAATGAAAGGTTGAGAAGAAAACTCCTGGTAGTCATGAAGCGCAAAAGCATCTCGAACTTCATGCCGGAGGAAGCAGGGCGGCAGTGGGTATAACCGTCATTATAGCCATAACCGCGCGGATTTCGGTAATTACCACCACTCTGATATTGATAATAGCTGCTATTATGACGATTGCTTCCGTAGGGTGGAGAAGGGTTAGAGGAGCGGATGTTGTAATCGGCGCGCTTGCGATCGTCCATTAGGGTGTCGTAGGCGTCGGAGAGCTGCTTGAATTTGGAGGTGGCGCGTTCTCTCACGTCCGGCGGGGAGTTAACGTGCTTGTCGGGGTGGAATTCTACGGCGAGCTTCCGGAAGGCTAGTTTGATTGCTTCCTTGCTTGCCTGACGGCTCACCCCTAATACCCTGTAGTGATCCATCTTCGATCGTTGCTTCCGGAAGACTAGTTTGATTGCTTCCTCTTCAGTTCTTCTTCTTCTTCTGGTCCTTTTCTTTCTGGATCGTTGAAGAATCCTGATCTGAAAATGTGGCACTCGGCGCTGCCATGGCGGTCCGGTAATTTTGTCGCATCCGTGGCGCTACTCCAGCCGCGCGCACAAAAATGAAGTTTTTTTTGTGTGATTTGAAAATACTGTTTGACAAGGTTATACCTCCATTGTCATCGACTATATTTTTTAATTGGAAATTATATATAGTATTATTTTCCATTCTTAAATTATGGTTGAATTTTATACTATTCACATGTTATATTTTAATTCTTTATGAGTATTTATTAATGTATCAACCAATAAATTTTGAAAAATATCATTAAATTTGTCTTGTCATAAAATTTTCAAAATCTGATTTCTTTTAATCTTTTTTACGAATAGAGAGTTAAATATATTAATGATCAAAGTTGTGTACCGAAAAATGTGAAAAAAGAGGTATTGTAGTTAAAAGAGAACATATGAAATATAATATAATAATGATACAAAAATATATTTTATTGAAAATATTTCCATAAAAGTATAATAAAATTTATAAATTCTATAATATTATATTAATCAAAACCATGATCCAAACTTAACGAGATGATAATGTTTTAAGGTAGAGATAATAATGTTTTAAGGGAGAGATGTAATATCTTCTTCTAATTTAGAAAATACTCAAAAATAGTACTAGTACTAGTTACTAATTACGTAGTACTATTTTTAGAGCCCGTTTGGTAGCACGAAAATCAGCTGATTTGGCTGATTCTGCAAAAATTTATGAAGTTGTCGCTAAAGTGACTGTATTGACTGATTCTGTTGATTTAAGAAAAAATTATTTTTAAAATATATTTTATTAATCAAATAAAGAAAAAATTATATGAAAAAATAGTTAAAATGATCATCTATAGTAACTTCAGCCAATACAGCCAGAAAAGTATCTTCAACCTTACCTTTTCTGTTTATTACACAATTCAGCGCGTGAGAGCAAAAGTTACGTGTTTGGTAAAAAATTGAGTTGATAAATCTGATAAGCCGAAAAACTGTGTTGCCAAACGACCTCTTAATTTTTCCGGTAAATAATTTTGTGTTCCAACCTTATTTTGGAATTAATGCCTTTGTCATATTTTCGTTATCAAAATGCCATTCTGACAATTTTTCTTATGCCACTAATTTTATTGTGATGATGATGACAAGTCCTAGACTCGGTTCGGGCCACCCGGCCCGGTGCTGCGGGCCCAAAACCGGTCTAAGGCCCGGTTAGCTAGGAAAAACAGAGCGGGCTCGGGTCAGTGAAAAGGAGTTCGGGCCAAATTGATTTTTTTTCATTTTTTGGGTTCCACCCAGGTTGGGCTTGATGTTTAGGAAGGTTTAGGGGATTTGGGGAGGTGGGGGGTGAGGGATACTTAGGAAAGCAAAAGTAATAATAATAATAATAATAACCAAACCCGAGGCCCGGACTGGACCCGGTAGCTATTTGGGCCGGTCCCGGGCCCAACTATTTAGAACCGGTGGCCCGCCCGGGCTTAGGCCTGTCCCGGACCCGACCCGGCCCGAGTCCAACCCTAATGATGACGCTAACTTCTTAAATTCTCGATTTTTTTTTCTCCTTTCAAAGAAAAAAACTATAGACACGTAAACTGATCTATAGAGGGTTTTAGGGGTTGTCATTTCAATTCAATTTGGTTAGATTGAATAGGTACCAATGGATCTGAAACCATTATATGTAGTTCAATTTGAATTCAGTGATCGTTCTTCTAAAGTTCTAAACCGTAGTAAAATGTAAAATGAAAAGAAACGAAATGGAATAAAACCGAATAAAGAAATAAGAAAATTTTAATATATTTTAGAAAATAGGAATAGAAAATACCCAAAACAAAATATAATGATTTTTATTTGTTAATCACTTTGTCAGTCCAATCCAAAGAGAGACCTCAATTCACTCATAGTTAGGACTCAGTTACAATTTGCAAACGTATGCGCATGCTGTGTGTTGGAAGGGGCAATGGCTCCTCTAGAGCCAGAATTTGAAGAATACATAATTGTATCATCATGTGTGGAAGTGTGTTCTTATGTGGATGAAAACTAAAAGTGAACCTCAGACTCAACAAAAAAAATTATATACAAATTAGTTAAGAGCTATTCAGTTAAATAGTTTCAGTTTAAAAAGTCATATAAATTTCTGTAAAATATTACTCCGTAGTTAATATTTTTTAAATACTACGCGTTCAATACAAAATTGTTCCTCAATTGGATTTTGGACTCCACCCGGACCACCCCTATTCGCATCAGACTTGTGAAGGATGAGTGGATCTGTGGATGATATCTTATACGAGTAATATCTATGATAATATTTCAGAAAACCACCAGTATGTTTTTTTGAAGAGAAAAACCACCAGTATGTTAGTGACAGTAATATTAGTGTTAATACCCACAATATACCAATGAATTACATGCATGGCAGAACATTTAGCTGTTTTGCAGTATGGAATATACGAACACATATTATAACAATGCTGGTTGAATGATGCCCTCCAATCAGTGTCGTTACCAAAACAGACCGTTAAGACTCGAAATACCATCATTTGAACATTCTTATGTACTATGTTCATGAAGTGCTAAACAAATGGAACTACAGCATCATAAACCTAGATTAGATAGATCCTCAGATGAAGAGGTGCTTATACTCCCTGTTGGCAAGTTCACAAACGCGGTTGTAACTAACTGTATCTGTAAACATAACAAAACAAAACGAGAAGAGGATAATCAAGCATTTCCAGAGGCATCATTTCAATAAAACTGCAAACTAAATCATTTCTATTGCAACTCAATCAAATGGAAACATGTTCAATGACTACACATACTGTTCTATGAATGGTTTGTATCAGTCACTTGACATGCTTAAAACAGGCTGCCGTAATAATCCCTCCATTTTGTTCTATAAGTCACTTGACATAATAAACGTAGTCTTCTATTTCACTGTTAGATTTCCAAGAGCATTAACTGCTCAATTTCCACACTTTACCACGTCCTGATTTTGGTGGAATCGTTGATTAAATAGAAATTTCCTAACGTAACCCTTAGGGTAATGGCATTTCTAAAAAATGACCAATCCCCAAAGAATCTCATATCATTAACTTGGGAATTGTGCAAGGTTATTTCAGGATACATCATGTTACTTGAGAAACATGCATAGCAGAGGGTCATTTTAACGAATATAAAAAATTTAAAGGCTGCTTCAGGAAAAATTCCATAATTAAATGTAGTCATTTTGTTTTGAATACTTTCATGTATTAAATAACATTCTCAATCCACATTAACTGGCCAAAAATGGATGAACTAGCTATTACCCAAACAAAACCGATTGATTGCATGCTGGAAAATATGAATTAATATAAAAAGTAAACAAAGAGTCTCCCATGTTGATCTTGATGTGCGTTGTTGGTGAAGGGACAAATGGCATGTCAATCAAAGACTTATGTTAATTTCAATTTGAGTCCTCAAAAGGCCTAAGTTGCATGTACTAATTAAGCATGAAAAACACAGAAAGATGTGAGGGATAGTGTGATTATTTAGTAAAAAGGACTAGTAGTCAGTGCTCGTATATATTCATAATCATATATCTGATCAAATAATATCAACATTTTCACAAAAAAGTAGCAGAAATTCTGGGAAGCTTGCTCTTAGTATCTTACTCCATAGTACTCAGTTGAAAAACAAATTTTAATTCACCGAATCTAAAATTGAAAGAATAAATTTCTTATAGCAACTTAAAATTCAATAAAGGCACTGATAGGCTAGTATTGGCTGACCAAAATGATTAAACTCCAACGTTTATCACTGAATTACATAAGCATTGATATATGTTTAATGAAAGGATCAGAAGGAATACCGAGTGTGTCCCCAAAGTTGGTCCATATATCAGCACGGATTGATTGGGGACTATCGGCAATGCCAATAACCTCAACAAATGTGGAGAGTGGACCAGGAGCAACACCTTTGATGAATATCTGCTGCTCATCTGTTGATTTTCCAGTCACTGTGCCACCATCAGAGCGAATAACCTGAATCACTGCCCGAACCCTCCGTCCCACGTGCATACGTAGTATCTCAGCATTGACAAACACCGCAGGATTTGACAAATCCATCATGCTTTGCACAATAACAAAATGAAATTTAAATGGACTTCAGTTTAAAGGTAACTATTTTTGCCATCTGATTCAAGCATTCAACAAAATCAAAATTAGTAACAATACTCAACTAAACTTACACTCACATTTCAGGTACCTAGAAGATACTTACACTTTATTGTTTTGACATTTTAAGGCATTTGCCTGCCTTTTCACAAAAAGTACCCTACATTTTTATGGTAAAATATAAAATTAACCAAATATGTATGTTTCACCAATATCCATGCAAGAAGCAGTAGAGACTTCTAAAATGTAACAGAGGGAGTAAAGTACACACTACACAGTGTAAGTATACTCTCATAAATCTTACGCTTATGGAAGGTTATAAACCCTTACTAACTCCGTCCAAAAAAAACCAAATGTCATATATTTAGAACTGAAATAGAGTTATGAACAATACATGTTTTATGGGGAGGGATGGAGTAAGATGCAATCTCTAAATTCCAAATATTCTCCACAACTTCCTAAGAGAAACTGACAAGAACTTATCTATAGCATAAAAAGAGAATTACTGAGATGCCAAATTGGTATACACATTTGGTCATTATATCACTTTATCGCCAATCCTACACACTAGCTTTTATGATAACTTGATATACGGCAATCCATCAAACCCTAGACTCCTAGAGTATCAGTTGTGCACTAACATTTACAAAATAACCATCCACTCTGTCACTAAACTAGAAAACGGGTAAATATCCTAATTTACAAGCACAAAAAGGTTCAGTCCAGCAAGAACATTGAACAATGTTAACTTCCATGATCCAGAATTCAGGTGTCTATCTGTATACGTATAAAAGCTGGACCGCCTGGGATAACGGTTCCAGCCTGGCAATGATGACGTCGATATGACATCATCGTGATGTGACAAGTGTTCACAGTCGACTAACCTCGGGATACTATACGAACTGGCGTGGCGTAGATTGCGTCCGACCTAAGGGGAAGAAGAGCTCGAAACGGAGGGATGAGCGGTAGATATGGTAAATCGGATAAATTGGTTATTCCGGAATCTAGTTGTTGAGCATGTGATTCTCTAATTGGATCGGATCAAACAATTTGGGCCAATTTGTACTCATTCTTTTTTTTTTGATCGAATTGTACTCCTCACTCTTAAAAATTTGCTTACTTTGTTTTTTGATTGTTTCATTAATTTCTTCATTTTTCCATTTAATTAAAGAATCCTTAGTTCATATCAATCCTTTCTTCTATACACAAAATTCAACTATACAGTGTTTGATTTATTATTACTCGTGTCAGCCAATTTCGGTTAGGTTTTAATGAACAAAAGAAATATATTTTTGTATCCATTATATGGTAGCATTGAAAATGGTTAAATGAGTTGAATATATTGAAGCCGGTGAAATTCTAGCTGAATCGATCGGCTTCACTAATTTGTTGATTTATGAGAATATTATATTTAACTTTTTTGTAATGATAAATAAAGATAAACCCTTATGAAAATAGATACAATGATCTTTTACAGTAATTTAAGTCAATCCAATCACAAAAGTAACTAAAAACTCACTTATATTGAGTACTCTCTCCGTCCCACTATAATTGTCTAATTTTTCCATTTTCGTTTCTCCCACTAATTTTGTCCCATATTATATTTGGCAAAATTTTTGTGTCTCTAATTCATTCTTATTATATTCCCTTTTAATCAACTTATTATCAACCACAAAACGCTACCTTTCTTAAAAACACACCACTCAGCTTTGTCCCAATAATAGGGGGACGAAGGTAGTATTATACTTCATTCATTCCACAAAGCTTGGCTAAATTTCTTTTTCTTACCGTTCCAAAAATCTTTGTCAATTTTCGTTATAGTGATGAATATGTGGTTAAACTAGTTTCTTTATCCTCTGCACAAATCTCAATCACATCGTTTTTATTTTCTACGTACAAGTCAAAGTTGGTCAAGTTTTGTGCGATAGGAGATTATACTTCAGAGCATAAAATAAAGAGTTATGTGGTATGATAAACAAAAATTACTGATAAGCTGAAAATATTAGTTACCAAACAGGTTCTTAATAGTTGCACGCTGAAAAGTAAATGGTAAAGTAATCTACAATTTAACCTATGTGTAAAATTCACCAACATCAATAAACATTGAAAGAAATATCATATACGAATATAATTCAGAGGTTACACACCTCACATATCATATGTGAATATTGTCTATAGGTAAACACCTCGTGTGAATACGCACACCTCGCATATCATATATGAGTATCATCTATATCCTCATTTGACTATAAAATCAATTAGTGCAACAAAGTATATCATATCATATTCAATTCATAATTTCATATCATATAACCTCGGGCTAGACTCATCAAGACTAGACGAACTGTCCCATATCAATCTACGCGCCTTCCTCGTTTCAACTGAGCATGCTCGCAGTCCATAGCTCATTTCCAATACATACCTGTCTTATTCAATATTTTGAATAGAAATTCACAAGTAATCACTAAGAATTCATATCAATTTATTAATCACAACATCTCAATGATTTATCCCCTCATGCATCATCATTTTATTATTCACACATATAAGTCCATTATCATTTCTCATAATCAAATAACAATCAAACAATATTCAAATTCATTTGTACCATTTAAATCCATTGAAATCACACTTTGCTATTGTTCACTTAACTCATATTTATAATTTAAATTTTCAACTTGTATCATATTTTATTTTGTATATGTATTTTCATTTTTTTTATCTTTCTTGTACTTTTGATACTGTTAAATGGTTGAAGTGGTGAATTAAATCATTCAATCAGGTTCAGGGCTCATTTGACCCTTAATTTGCCACGCTAGATGCACACTTGACATCTTTTCAGGTGATGCGCCAATAATCAGGTTGTTTTTTGAAAATTGAAATTTGAATGTTCTTTTAGTGTAGGAGACAAATTGAATTGCATACATGTACATGGCAAATATATTTTGATATGACTTGATTTGTTTAAATTTAATCTATTTCAATATTAATAGTGTGTGATTTGGTCGGGTCTAATGTGAGAATGAAACATGTTCAACCAAGCTTATAAATTTATGATGCTAAAAAATTACGTAGTAGTTGATAAAAAACATCAATATTGGGCGAGCATAGTCTCATCCAAAAGAAAAACCTCTTGTAGAGAAAAAATCAATTTTAAAATCATTTTTTTTTTAATTTTTTTAATACAACAAGCTAAGTAGAGTTTTTTTAGATGTGGATTTGGAAGGTGAGAGGTCCACCGCCTTTGGTGAGCGAAATCACAGTCTCCGAATTCTTCGAAGGAATTTCAACTCTCACTTTATACGTTCCAAGGAAGCCGGAGAAGTTAAACGAACCACCGCTGTCAGTAACACCGGTGACCGTGCCGGTATGCCACTCTCCGAGGAGCTTATCGACGACGTCTCCGGCGAGCGTGTTTTTGAAGTCTCCGTCGGTGAGGCACATTTGCCAGCACGACCCGGCGGTGCTCATCGCCGCCCAGAGTACGATTCCGTCCACGGCGGGATGCGAGAACAGTTCCCTCAAAACCATCTCCAGATGCACCGCCTGTTTCTCCGGGCCGAATTTCCCGCTCGTATCGGCTTCGGTGATCCAAATCGGGACCCCTAGGGTTGCGAATTTGTCGAGAACGGATCTGGTGTAAACCGGATTCGGCGAATTGAAGAAATGCCCTTCCAATCCCATCCCGAGATTCCGGATCCCGTTGCGCCGGAACTCGGCGATCTTCGCGACGTACGCGTCGACGTTGCTCCGGGAGCCGCAGGACTCGACGACCTTGAAATCGTTGAAGAACAGGGTGACGTTCGGGTCGATTTCCTGCGCCAATTTGTAGAATTCCAAGGACGCGTTTGGATTCCGCAGCGATTCCTCGTAGAAGGCGTAGTGAAGCATCTCGTTGTTGACGTCCCAGTGGATGAGCTTGTTCCGGTAATGCCCCACGACGCTGCGGATGCGGTCGTCCGCCGCCTGTTTGAGAAGCTCCGGCGACGCCGACAGGTTGCGGACCCAGGACGGTAGGAAATTGGGGTCCTGCCAGAGCACGTTGTGGCCTCGGCAGAGGATGTTGTTCTTCAGGGCGAAGTCTAGCATCTGGTCGGAGATGGTGTAGTTTGTTCTGCCCTGGAACGGCTCGGTTGACGGCCATTTTAGCTCGTTCTCGAAGACTGTCACCCCGAATTTCTTCCTCAAGAACCACTCCTGCAAACCGTTGCAAATATAGTTAATTTTCTTTTTCGTAAAGAAGGCAATGTAGTTTCTTCTTCTTCTTTGCATACTCCATAGTCCATATAATTTATTTCAAAAATAAAAACAAGAAAACTCTATGAGCTTCTTTGGTAACATTCAAATCGATGAATTAATGATATTGTTGAAATTTATAAAGTTCGATTTGAAATGGTTGTATTGACCGATTCCGTTGATTTATGAATAAATTATATTCAAAATATATACTACGTATTATTATATATACATGATTAAAATTAAATTGTTTACAAAAATGTGACCAATAACTAAAGTAATAATGAAATCATAGTAACTTATGTTTTTATTTTTTAAACTTAAATTACCATGAAACTACATTATAGTATGGAGTAACTATTAGTCATATTTGTGTACATGAGTTTTATTTTAGTAATATTTTAGAGAAAAAATCCATAAAATAAAGAAAAAGTTATATGAAAATATAGTTAAAATGGTCATTCAAGTAACTCAAGTCAAATACAGTTAGAAAAGTAACTTCAACCTTACTTTTTCTTATTATTACACAATCAGCGCACAAAATCAAAAGTTACGTGTTTGGTTAACTTTGACCGAAAATCTGTGTCAGCAAACATGCTCTATATAATTCTTCTTGAATTATGTTTTTTTTTTCACAATTCAAGTATTTCAGCTATGATTTTAGATAGTTTCAATAATTTGAGGTAATTTAGTATTGCCATGAGGTACTTAGATTTATTATTTGTTTTCATCTAATTTTATTTATGAAGAGAACCTATGTGTTGCTTTTTCTCATAACACTTCAAAAAATATGAATAATCAAATTCTGAAAAGCACCTGTATTTGAAATCTTTATTATACTATGTTATTGAAAGCACCTGTATTTGAAATCTTTATTTATGAAGAGAACCTATATGCATTTTATATTTATGGAATTCAAGTCTTTTGAATATGATTTGATTTATGATCAAGATCAGTTCAATTAAAAACTTTTTTATATTTGTTTTTATCAAATTTAGAGCCCGTTTCATAACCTTATTTTTTCAGTCTTAATAGACAACTTTTTTCAAACAATAAATGTATGATTTCTCGCATTGAATTGTGTGCTAATTAAAAATGACAATTTCATAATTAGTCGTTCGGCTAAATTGACTTAAACTACTGTAAATAATCATTTTAACTATTTTTATATTGAAATATTGAACTACCACAAACAATGGCTCACTTGGTTCAAAGTGTGCTGTGTACAAAGATTTCTCTAGAAAAAATTTTAATATAATTTTTTACACTAATATTTAAATAATTTTAATTTAGGATGAGTCAGGCCTATCACGCCCCTAGCTCTGCCCATGCATACAAAAAATGCTTTTTTTTTACTTAAGTGCACCATACCTATATATTGATGAATTTTCATTGTTTATAAAAAGTATGTTTTGTGTTATATAGTTATTTAAGATTTTCACCTAACATTTCAGTGTTGAAGATGATTTGAATTGAAAGTTTAGGAGGTTTTCATAAGTAATTTATTATGTTTATCAAGTTCAACTTTCATTGTCACGAACATTTACTACATTCACTGTGGTTAATGTAATACGTAGTACTAGGTACTTCTTTAAACTACAATTTCATGTACTCCCTTGATTTCATCTAAGTTGATCCGATTTCTAGGGACTAATGCACTAAAGTAGCTAGTCCTTATTAGTATGGTACAGTGCCATATTACAATGGAATGCTACTACCTTTAAGGTTGGTTTGCAACAACTTTAAAAAAAGCACTTCTCAGCTTTTGGCTTAAAAAAGCACTTATTTACCAAACACTACCAATTTTTTACTTTTCTCGGCTTTCGTGTCAAAAGTGCTTTTCCCCTTTTTATACACCAAAAGCACTTATTTTACCAAATACAACCAACTTTTACTTTTCAAAATCACTTTTTTCTCAAACACTATCAACTTTTACAACTAATCACTTTTTCATTTCATCTCCAAAAGTGCTTTTTTTTAAGCAGAAGCTGTTGCAAACACTCCCTTACTGGCCGAACTAGAAAAACAAGTTAGGTGTCAAAACTTTGTCATGTAGCATTCAGGTAGTTATGTGAGTGAGGTAAACATTAATTTAAATGAAACGTAAAAAGAACATACGGAGTATGTAATTGATAGGAGTAAATAAGATTATTATTTTGAGAATTTAGAGATATAATTATTATTAAGATCAAATTTCAATCATTTCAAATTTAGATAATTTCTCGTTTTTTTAGAAGTGATAACTTTTGACTTATAATGAGTTACCAATTTACCATAGCCATAACATATCAAATCAAAGGTTCTTTATCACAAGCTTTCAGGAGGCCATCTATGGCTTTGTTTGCAAACTCTAAAAAAACACTTCACAGTTTTTGGCTTAAAAAGCTAAAAAGAGTGTTTTTGAATGACAACTTCTACTTAATTAAATTTATTACTTAAAAGCTAAAAGTTAGAATCTATTTTTACTTTTTTTATTACACAAAAAGCACTTATTTTACCAAACTCTACCAACTTTTACTTTTCAAAATCATTTTTTTTTTCTCAAACACTACCAACTTTTACTATTAATCACTTTTACCCAAATCACTTAAAAAAGTTCAAAAACAAACCCTAAGCCCCCTTAGCTCCACTTTAGGTTTGAACCATGTTTATGCATTAATCAAGTTGACTTTGATGATTTATTAAAGCTGTAAATAGTGATTCCATTTTCACATCCTCTTCAATAATTTAGCACACAATAGCAACAAAACGTTATGGAGATGGATAACCTGATAGTGAACGTTTGAAAGGATGGCTTTTGAGATTGCTGTTCCGAAGGGAAAGGCTGAGGAAATTTGCTCCACAGTGATGTTGGCACCTTGTAGTTTAAGCCCTTGTTGATTTGAGACTGTAATTACGCCCTCACGTTTTCTTACCTGCACCCATAATATTTAATTTGTACTCTTGTGAAGGAAGGAAGCTATTTTGTAATGATATGATATACAATTAATAATTAGAGGACAATTAATTCTGTTACTATTTGTGATGATATACAATCAATTGGTTACCTTCTCGATCATATCCTGTTGCTGTGCTGCCCATTCTTCTTCTGAGAATTGCTGCAGTGAGCTACTCGCCACATCTATATGGATATTATTCCCACTGAAATCCTACCAAGTTAAAGCATCATAAAATTAAACCATTTTTAGCCCGTTGGTCACCCTGTTTTTCAGTCCAGAGGTAAGAGGTTTATCAGCTAACCTAATTTTTTTAAACATGTAACTTTGATTTCTCATGTTGAATTGTGTAATATGTGTAATAACAAAAAGTAAGATTGAAGTTATTTTTGTAACTATAGTGGCCGAAGTTACCGTAAAGGATTACTTTAACTATTTTTCAGTCAGAACTTCATAAATTTCAACAAAATCAACTGATTTGGTTATTACCAAATGGGCTCTTATTCAAAAAGGCACATTTGTTTTCTTAACATTAGTCTACTTTTGCTTGATTTTGACATAAAACAAGAGTAGTATGTATATTTGGAAAGTCAAAACTAGACTTCATGTGACATAAATATGTATGTGAGTCAGGATCTTTTCTTCAAAACGCAAGTATAAACATATGTCCATAAAACTCAAGGGCTGAGAAGGGGAGCACGCTAGGTCCTACCCCCAACACAAATTTCAAAAAATCCTTAGAGATTAGTTTAAAATTTTGTGTGAAAATCTATTTAAAAAAGTTCGTCACACCACACTAGCTCAATATATAATCTGACTATGCCCCTAATTAAGCATGTATTTATTTACTTATTGAAAGATAGAATTTCATGAATAAGATGTTATTACAACGATCGATATTCGATATCATACAATAAAAGATGACAACGTTGAATATTCACAATTCACATCCCCTACAAAGATTATTTTCAGTGCACATTATTTTAATAAATGTCACCACATTTGTTTTTGAAAAACACCACATTTTCTTGCTAAGCTAATGATAAAATTACATTTCTATTTGGTTCAAGATATATGTGTATGTGTTAATCAAATCGGGTTGAGTTGTCTAATAAAAGTAATTAATTAGACAGTAAGTAACACCTCAAAATGGACGACAGATGTGTTTAGAGCGTCATTTAAGAAAAAACCTCCCTTGAGAAAGCTCCAACACCCTTGATTGGCAATGACCGTGGCTCCACAATTGCTTGCATTTGATCCCAAATTGGCCCATACAACTGTTGAATTACCATCACCTCCACTTGTCTTCACCCAACCTGCCCAAGTTTTAACCCCTCAGAACTAATAGGAATAATCACTCTATTACTTTTCTCGACTCTAGTTATATGTGACAGGTAATTTTTGATTCAGTCCCGTAATTTTCGATTCAGCTTGTCATCAATCTTATAATTAATAAGCATGTACAACTTAAGGATTTTCCTGTGAAAAGTGCACTTTCTTGTAGAGAATTCAACATTGGCGATGTCTTTTCCGGTATATTTTTTTGTCAAAAAGTATGCTTTAAATTGTACACATTCATTAGTTATATGAGCAAATCTATAAGCAAATAAAGTTATAGATCAAACTACTAACAGGCACAACAAAAAGTTAATGGACAAAATTGCAAATTTCTCTATTATGTGTGTGGGTGTTTGAAACTGATTCTGCTTCTGCTTCTTTTTTAAATAAGAACCAGAATCATCTTTCAGAAGTTGATCCTCCCACCTTCTAAAAAAATGATTTTAGGAATAAATTAGAGCACCAGAATCACTTCTGCACTTTCACCCAAACACTTCAACTTCTGCTTCTACTCCCTGAAGGAGCAGAAGTAGTTTTAACAATCAGATCCAAACATCCCTGTGTAGAATCTGGATCATGTAAGAAGAAAGGTGGTTCTTTTGAAAAATTAGAATAAGTTTAACAGATGTAAGATGTAATAGCTGTAAAAGTTTCAAACATAGTGAAAAATTGAAGAGAAACGTGTAACATTTTCATAGTTAAGTGATTTCTTGCCACAAATAATAAGGAAAACTTCGAATGTCTTGAGGGAACCGCACCCTATATTAGATCAAATGGGACTTGGATATATCATATCACACCATGTTACACACAAACGTACCTGAAAAATCAGACCTGACTTGGGAAGTAGTAAAGTTAAAGTCACGTTTCATCCGTTCCCTAAAATATGATTAAGTTTGATTTGCACATAAAATAATAATGTAAAAATTATATG